CATTGTGGTAATTGGACTGAGGAAAGGAAGGTTGAGATCAAGGCATTTTATTGATTATGAATTTTCCTGGGCGCTTCTATTTCATATTTTGGGGAGGGGAAAGATCGCCAAAAAAGCCATATTTAAATCCATATTCCAACCGACAACGCCCCCTCTGATTCCCCAAGCGGCTTTTATGGTTTGACGCGATGACATCGCATGAGTTTATGTTAACTGAAGTTACCAGGACCATCATGGCTTGTGGAGAAGAGTGCACGAAAAGCAGCATGGTGTAGTCCCGCTGAAATCCCCGGATGATTGGTCGTCACCCAAACCACTGGCACCAACAAGATCAGATATCTCCGCAAGAGGCCCCCCAACCCCAACCCCAATGAGACGGACTGCCCTCGTGCTTGACTTTGGCCCTCCCCTTTCTGCAGATTGCTTACATGTTTCATCCCCGCCGGAGATATCACTGTTTCCATAATCTTCAATGCTGGAAAGACGCTCGAAAGACGCTGGTTATTGCGGCGATAGGACGCAGCTGTTCGGATACGCTAGCTTTTTAATAATATACGCAGGTGAGACCGTCTGACCGTAATCCAAGGTAGTTTTATTTTCGATGGTTCAGGAGTTTGCTCTTCGGTTAATTTTATCCGGCCGGGTGGATTGAAGCTTGAATAGCACGATGGTTGAAAGGAAATAGGCGAAAGCGTCTTGCTAACCACAAGGGCGAGAGCTTCCCATGGCAACAGGGCAAAATCTGGGCCTTCTAGTTTTCTTTATCTGCGTTGTCTGGCCTTCTGGGGAGGGCGTAGGTTAGAATAAATATACCAACCACACTGGATGCCCGTATTGTCTGCTTGTGTTCTTCCAACCCGAGGCTTGCTGGCCAGCCCCACGTTCGATTGACATAATTAATTCGTTCGTCCTATGAAAAGCCGCTTTGCTTCCTGCCGCTTGCTGGGTCAGGCGGGAAGGTTTTTGAACGTCATCTCGCCGTCTGGTTTCTGCCGTTGCAACCCTGTTAACATTAACCTTCATCCAGCGAGCGCTCTCTCAACGTCCGCGGTGTTCCGGAACACACTCCTCACATCAGCGAAAAGTGATTAGATTCAAGGAACTGCTACTTCCTTAAAGCCCTAGGACGCTTCGTAGATATATAAATTCTCCCCATTTCC